GAGGGAATATGCCAGTACTGCCTAGAAATAAACGCGTGCAATTATGACAACACATGCTCTTACGCGAGGAAAATATGCTTCTACTGCAATCGCTTAGAGGGAACACCCTCGCTGGCATGATCATTAGAGAGAGCCATCATACCGCTCTTTGCAATAGTCCTAGCCGGAGAAACGAGGCCCGAGACAAAATGGAAAGGGCGCGAGAAGAACTCACGAGGGGAGGTCGTTCAGGGCGTGGAGCGCTTTTTGAAAACGGTTTTTTGCATGAAATAGGGGCAGGTGCAGTGAACACAGATCTATGGTCCATTTCCGCTAAATGGCCTTCTGAATGCCAAAAAAGGAGTGAAAATCATTTTGTTGGAAACTGCAGTTTTTACTTGTTAAACGTGGTGTGTTTCATTCATGGCGTCATATAGGCATAGTAAAAGGTCGTAGTGAACTGTGCATCGAAAATAACGTGAGGTTTAGCCAAAAATGGATCCTTGTCATGCTACATGCTACGGAGTGTGCGGGAAGATTCATAACAGCTATCTGCAGCTTGGATGTCGGCAGCGACGGATGGCTTAGCGGATAGTGCTGTGGACTGGAGTTGGCACGAGTGGACTGGGTTGGTGGTTCGGATCCTCCGCGCGCGAAATTTTTGCATTTTATGCTGGCACCTCCATCTTGGCTCCAAACTGCACCAGTGCCAAAATGAGTGTCTGACTGGTCATTGTCGTGACCAGGAGCAGCAATGACCCCGTGCGCTAGGTTTTCACTGAAAACTGGCTAGAAAATTGTATCTCTAGAATGAGAATAAATGACACCAGCAACTATTCGTATTTGTGATCAGCGTGGACAACCCTCGCAGAGCAGACCACGGGATCATTTAGGATTTGCTCGATGTGTAAAATTTTCCATTTATTGCAAACAGATTATTAACACGTGTGGTACAACTCTATAAAGCAAGTGAAACATAGCTGTTTGCCGCACCAGCTGCACTTGACGAATGCCAAGGAAGAGCAGCTGCCGATCCCTTGGCAACCGCCGACAATTTCACCTCCGTTGAAACCGTAATCAGCCGGCGTCGAAAAAGCTCCTGGATGGTCGTCGACGTATCCTGCAGCCACCCAGGCGTACGCTATGTGCTCGCGATTTAGGCGAACAGCCAGGTGTCGAACTATGGCGTACGACAGCGGGAGTCCTATAAAACATGTCGTTTGGCGCACTTTATCAATGTTTACATTACTTCCTAGCTCGGGGATTCAAAGTCAAACCTTGTTCGCGGCTTCCAGTACTCTTTCTCGAAGAAGAGCGGAGAAGCGTTTAAAATCAAGCATTCTTGATTCTCCAACCATTGAATTTTATTGTTTGCTTTTGAATACCTCTTTTTTCGATCTCGCGGAGCAAATACATGTGCCGTTCAGTTTTGATCCACTTGAACCGGTTGTTCATGGAAGCTAAAGAACGTGTTCCCTTGTCAGCCTCGCGGTAGTGAGCAATGGCGCGTTCGATCTGCGAAATACACGATTGCACCTTGAGCTTTCGTTACAAAGTGCTACAACTAACAGCATCGTGAGGAATGGGCCTGCCGTCGAAGAAAACAGTCCTCCGTGGTGAAATAGTAACGCTGCTACGGTCATCGTCATCATCTGTGGAGTCCAGCAAGCGTCTTCTCTTTCATCGAAAGTTGCCTGTAAACTGCAGCACTTCAGAAGCTCGGACCTGTTTGTTAACAGTGCGACGGCTCATAAACTCCTATAAAAGTAACCTGAAGCGTCTCTTCTTCCTCGTCGTAGTCTGCGCCCTTAAGTATTCCTCTGAAGGCGTCGGCAATTGCGATTTCTTTTCTTGTAGGAGGAGAAAAATCGGGCGTGAACGACGATAGAAGGCGGCCAATAACTCTAGCAGGTGAGAAAGCCATGTCGAGATCAGAAATGGTACACACCACATATTCTTCAGATGTGACTGTAGGTTGCGGTACATCATCACTCGCACAAGCATGTACGAGCGTGAGTATTTCCGTCGACGACCATCCCGGAGCTTCCGGTAGCTGCTCTTCCTTGGCATTCGTCAAGTGCAGCTGGTGCGGCAAACAGCTATGTTTCACTTGCTTTATAGAGTTGTACCACACGTGTTAATAATCTGTTTGCAATAAATGGAAAATTTTACACATCGAGCAAATCCTAAATGATCCCGTGGTCTGCTCTGCGAGGGTTGTCCACGCTGATCACAAATACGAATAGTTGCTGGTGTCATTTATTCTCATTCTAGAGATACAATTTTCTAGCCAGTTTTCAGTGAAAACCTAGCGCACGGGGTCATTGCTGCTCCTGGTCACGACAATGACCAGTCAGACACTCATTTTGGCACTGGTGCAGTTTGGAGCCAAGATGGAGGTGCCAGCATAAAATGCAAAAAATTTCGCGCGCGGAGGATCCGAACCACCAACCCAGTCCACTCGTGCCAACTCCAGTCCACAGCACTATCCGCTAAGCCATCCGTCGCTGCCGACATCCAAGCTGCAGATAGCTGTTATGAATCTTCCGCACACTCCGTAGCATGTAGCATGACAAGGATCCATTTTTGGCTAAACCTCACGTTATTTTCGATGCACAGTTCACTACGACCTTTTACTATGCCTATAGTTGACGCCATGAATGAAACACACCACGTTTAACAAGTAAAAACTGCAGTTTCCAACAAAATGATTTTCACTCCTTTTTTGGCATTCAGAAGGCCATTTAGCGGAAATGGACCATAGATCTGTGTTCACTGCACCTGCCCCTATTTCATGCAAAAAACCGTTTTCAAAAAGCGCTCCACGCCCTGAACGACCTCCCCTCGTCAGAGACGTTATGACACAATCAGCGCGTAAACAGTTGGAACGAAGCAAACATAGGGATACCAAAGATATAACCAACAGGAATCCCCGAAGAGAAGCCGACGAAATAGTTGAACATCTTGGGCGGGGAGTGACGACAACTGTCGTCCAGAGAAGGGTGAACATTCAAGCCTGTATTTTAATCATACATTCTAGAGGAATTTATAATCGTTATTCAGATGCTTCTCTCGCTCAAGATGTATTGAAGAATGTAATCAATCGACTGTGGAGGTCAGATCGACAGATAACGGTTCGAGCATGGGAGCAGCATATAAGCCGCGCGAGGAAAACATCGAGGCCCATTGGCTGGTAACGGACGTCTGAGAAAGTGACGGCTTCGGTCACCGCATTTCGCGTAGAAGTTCAACCCTCGGCAGTCGTTTGACACATTCAACTGTAATAGCTGTCTGTAGATTCTATCCCAGACTAACTGTACTCCAGTACACCATTGGTCGATTGCGGTTAGTATATTTAGTAAATAGCTGTTTATTGTAAGTTGAAGTTCTCCTCCCATTTTGATCACAACACCGCGTGGCAAAATATAGATAGAAGGCGCCAAACCGCGTAGATGAAGTACTTCAATGCAAGTTGTGCAGGCAATTATGCTCACCACTTACAACATGATGAATTGCCAATGGCTCAATGAGAACGTTCCACGCAGCCGCTGGCAAGGTTGCTGGATCAACACCGCCTGAAGTCTAAGATTTGCAAACAACATCCGTTGCTTACCTGTTGTCAAGATCTCTTCCGATGCTGTGATCGAGTGATCCCTGGTGCACTGGCAAAAACCCGGCTTTGAGTCCTGTCATCCAGGGTTCAAGTCCGAGAGTGGCGCAAGTTTTGCAGATAGTGTGGCGAGGCTGGCGGTTTCAAGAAGGGTCAAGTCACGTTTCCACGTTCCTTGTCCTTCGTCTATGGGGAAAATCACCACATTTAATTGTTAGTTTAGAGTACTTTACTACCGTTTCTAAAGATTTGTCGACTTGGCTGTTAAAAGCAAGCGATGGGCGTTACCTTGTTTTTCGAACAAAAAACTACATGACGTCTCGGAGCCGGATGTTACGTTTCCAGAATGTTCTGGCCTTTGTTGTTGGGTAATTCCAGCAAAAATTCGAAATTTTAATATATTACGCGTTTCGTGATGTCGGCGACGGACTAGCACTTCGAAGCTGACACCGTTGAGTGAGGCCGAGACCGATCTGCTGTTTCTCTATATGTCACACAGCATTCGTGTGCATTTGATCCCTTGAATTTCTGAGCCATATGACTAGTGCTTAATGTTTATATCTTTGTTTTTAATTGGTTTGTCCTTTTAGTTCTAAACATTCACAGTCTTGGATTGATAGACATTGGAATCTAGCTTCTTGTCCAGTTCGAATGTTCGTAGAGCCGAGGTCCTTAATCAATGAAACATCAGGAGATGATCGGTGTGCCTTATTAGCGCATTAGCTTCAGAAATGTAATGATGAAGCTTCTGATTAATTTCAAATGTATACTGTATCAGAATTTTATGTAAATCGGCTATGCAGAGACAATTCTGTTATGCCACACGCGTTTATTCTCTATTCAGAACAACATGGGTGTTGAATGTGAATTTATTCCTGACTAAACTCAACTCTTTTTTGTTGCATACACGTCACCTCCATGAAATGTTGGTGTCACAAGTGGAAGGGACCATATTGTAAAGAATATGGAGGAAAGGAAGGTCTCAGCGGTGGGCCAACCTGGTAATGCAAAAACTGCAGCAACTGAAAACTATAAATCCGGTCTTTTCGAACTGGCCATGCGTTTTTGAGTAGGTAGACTCGTTTCGGATCACTGTCGTTATAGTAAACTCATTTTCAGGTATATTCTGACGAGTGAAGCATTGTATTCCTCAGACTATCTTCGAACCTAGCGGAGCCCCCATTTCTTCAGGATACCAAAAAATGGGAAATATCGTATACTCTGACAATTCCTCATTTATAACTAGGGCTTCAGAGACCCAGCTGCAGTCGCATACCCAGTACACCTTCGTCCTTTTTGATGACGCCTTTTGAATAACGCCTTTTTTTTACAGTGACGTTGCTAATCAACTAACGTTCAGAAGTCGTGCGTGACAATTTGGAGCTTTGACGAGGTTCAGCTGAAGTTTACTTGGATCTTTGCCGTCATACACATCCAACTGCATAACATCTCGTATAGCTGCTGTCAAATGATCAGCAAAGGCGTAGGCCACCTCTATCTGAAAAAGATATGGAAGTTGGAAGATCGCCCCTTACGAAACAATCAAATATGGATTTCATACAATTCCCATTGGACGGGATTGTACGAAATCTATATTTTTGATGTTTTTCTATTCTTTTCTCAGTTGTATAGAGGAACATAGGCGGAACATTCCGTGCAGAGCCCAGTGGATTACAAGCCAAAGCCGGTGTTCCGATAAGCTGCAGCACCATGCATCTGAATTCATGGAGAAGAATTAATTGCTCAGTCTTGGTCCCAACGTCTAGGAAAAAGGCTTGTTCAAGATTCACACCTTCGTCTGCCGCACTTTGGGGTCAGTTGTTTTATGCACCACCACCCCAAGCCGGCAGTATTGTAGAAAAGTGACCAAGGACATCCGTAGCACAACACCCTGATAATAAGTGAATAGATGAATGAAAATATAATGAAATGGCGCATGAACCCACTCCCTGAAGAGGTAGCAGCGATATCCATGGTAAACAGTACAGCACTCATTTATTTGATGAGTGGGATCTCTTCCACTCCACAAATGCAACGTACAGTACCCACCGCTTGAAACCAAAAATTCACGCGAATCTCGCGATTTCGCAGTTTAGCTGACTGCGGATTGCCAACTACGCCGACGGCAATCGGCAATCAGCTGAGCTATTAGCTGCATACGTGGATCGCGCCTGACCACCAATGGCTAGGGAAGCCCATCAGCTGCGCAAAGCTGCGATTGCGAATTGCGTTGCGTACTATTCGGTATTACTTTTATGGAGAATCTGTCATTGAACATCGCAGGTTTGTAAGCTTACCTGAAGAAGCAAGGAATCTGGTTTCTTACAAGGGAATGACGAAGAGTGATGTTTGGGCAACATCACGGAAAAAGAACCCACCTGCGACCAAGAATTTCAGTTTCTTCTTGAGATGAAACTCGAGCGTAACCCTATATGGAGTTTTTCTTCGAAAGTTGAAAACACATCCTCATGGCCCCCAATAAGTAAATTCAACGATGTCTTCATTTTGAAAAACTCAATACTAAACGCGTCATAACGAATTGAAAATAACTCGAAATTGCTGGAATTTCTTATTCCAAGCGGTAAGTACCGTGCGAGGTATTTGTGGTGTGGAAGAGATGCTACTCAGCAAAAGAACAGAGATGCAGGCGGCACCTCGAGTATAACTTCACCGTCAAATCCATTAGCGCGTGGAATCTTACATTAGATATCGCTAATTTCAAGGTGTGAATTCAAAAGCTGGCTTTTCGACCTTCATTTCATTTGCTTTTAATTTCGAAAACTTCCACACTTACACAGACAATCCATGGAATGAGAGGTATTAAAGGAACCACGTAATGGTCTCCTACACCTTCCAAACATTTTCAAGGGCGAACTTGACTGGAAACGGTGCCACAAACAATAAATGTTGAGCGCGGAACATAAATCGCAGCTTTCGCACGATAAACCCGCTTCCATACTTCGCGCCGTTGCTGACGCTGCGGACAATGCGGGCAAAGCAAAGGAGGCCAACACAGCTGGTGCATGACGCGTACTTGTTGCACAGCATTGGTGCGCAAAGCTTTTTCTTTTTTATGTGAAATATTATGTTTCAGTAGCCAGATGTGTTAGCATCGTGCAGTTGCGGGTGGAAGTAACAGTGAACCCTCAGGTGAGTTCATTTATGCGCAATATAATAATTCATATAGAAAAGAAAAATTACGCGCTAGAAAGACGCGACCGAAAGCAAATATCTGAAAAAAATCGCACGCATTAAAATCAATATCGATCGATCAAGGGACACCCTATGTGAGCCAAGCACACGTCATGCGCCAAAGCTGACGCTGTTAGGACGTTGCGGATGGTATCAACAGTGCTGTAGGCACTATTGAAACCATCCGCAACGTGTGCAATGGCGTAAAGTACAATAGGCGGTCTAATGCACAGCTTAATACCCTTTTAACGATGTGTCCTATAATACTTACACCTTTCCATCCAAGAAGGAAATTGATACGTATCGAATCTTGTTCTTCAAACTTCAGGCCAAGCGGTCTAGCCTCATCTGAATGCCTTGAATTTACTTACGAATATTTACTTACGAATAGCCAACATCTGTGTGACCTATCACGGTTTCCACCACAACGTTTTCATTTACTGGTAACACCCTTTGTCGTCAACGTCTATGGTGACAACATAGACATTACATAAAATCTTTATACACTTAATGTGGATTTTGGAGGTATTCGCCACGTTTGCCACTGGATTCACGGACCGGCATTAGTACATGCGGCGGAACCCAGGATGAAATCGATGTCTAATTTCGTTTTTAGGGTTATCAGTTATTTTTTCACGCCACAGTTGCTAGTGTGTATTTGCAGCTCACTCACATTGTTGATACAAATTGTCCGAAGTCTACGAATTCCACATTTTTTAGACATTAGTCTACGTTGATGACAATTAAATCATTGTTTCCAAAACGATGACCTGTTGAAAACTCACCGGAATCCGTTGGGATGTAGACACCATGAACAAAGATGAATGATAAGGTGTTTGCGTCATCTTCACAAAAATGATTCAGCTTTTCTGTTTTACTTTCTTTGATATCGAAGCAGATACGTACCCTATGTGCCAAGACATGACCATAGGATTTCAATAATGAAATAGTTCAGTGAAAACATTACCATTGGCAAACTTTGCCAACTTCTAGCAGAACTGATTGGTAATTTACGCTGGGTTTATCTGTGACTTTACACTCCTTTCGTTTCTGAATTGAGTTCTATTACTTATCACTTCACTTTCATTATATGTAAACCAGAAGTTTGGTGTGTCGGTTTGTCGGTGTGTGTTTGTGTTTGTGTGTGTGTGCGTGTGTGCGTGTGTCGTTCTGTCCGTCCGGACCAACCGCTCACAAAACCAGGGAGTACGAAGGGCAACACTTCGTGATGTTGATGTCATGATCATGATAACACCCACAGCGGCTATATAAACACCGATCGAGCACACTCAGTCTCATTCTACATGGTGCTGCCGTGGCAGCCGGATGAGCGGGGGGGGGGGGGGAGGTGGAGGGGTAGAGGGAAGGGGCAAGAAAGGGGAGGCTGGAAGGGAGGGAGAGAGAAAGAGGGAGGGAAGGAAGGGGGAGAGGAGAAGAGGGACAGGGAGGGGGAGGTGGGGAAAGAGAGACTGAGAGAGAACGACCGTCTTTAAGAGTAAGGTCTATATTCATGTTGACGTATTGTCTAACCTGATGTGGTGATTGTGATAACACCGACAATGGCTACAAAACACCGAACGAGCACACTCAAGCCTCATTCTACATGATGTTGCCGGACAGCCGTAGTCGGCGGGCGGTAGAGGGGAGGGGGGGGAAGCAGTTTCATCCTAGATGGTTTGCCGAGCGGGGGGGGGGAGGGTGGAGAGGGGTAGAGGGAAGGGGCAGGAAAGGGGAGGCTGAAAGGGACGGGAGGAGGAGAGAGACAAGAGGGAGGGAAGGGGAAAGAGGAGAAGGGAGAGCAATGGTGCTGCCGTGCGCCGGAGAGAAGGGGTATAAGGCGGTTCAACACATTCAATAGTGAGGTGGTTAATGCATTACGTCATGCACTATTATTCCGTGCTTACTCCCTACCCTGTGATGCGCGCGATAGCGGGTGGAGCAAACCTGGTATGTAAAATGGTGAAACAGTACGCGCACAACTGCCTTCGTTAAAAGTTAAATTTCAACACGTACCTTAGATAACAAATCATAATCAACACAATAATGAGGAAGAACCATGAAAGTGACAAAGAAAAAATGGGATAGGTACAATGGAATTACGGGCTTTAGCATGTCTCCAAAAAGTTCTGAATGTGTTGAAGTATGATGTAATTATCCGACGCTTCAAACTTCAACATAACTTCTGAATCAAGACAACCACCCTATGAGTAAGGATATGACGCCAACAATCCACCTAGCTCTACCCACATCTGATTTTAATCTGTCGCTTCTCATTATGGAGGGCCTTCGAGTACAGTTCACCGAGATCTAGCTTCACCCTGCAAGTCCCAGTCTGTGGAAGATCTCAGGTCATTTTCCCTGTCAGCTTCGAAGTAGTGGAACCTGAGCTCTTTTTCACTTTTGACAGCAGCTGGAGAAATTTAATCATACATGAAGCCAAGTTCCCTCACCATTAGTTTTTTCGTGAAATTATTTCGCACAGCTTCAAGCTTCTTAAAGGACGAATTCTCGATAAGAACGAAGGTCGAAGAAGGGGAAATGGCCTAGTTGGGATACAGGCGGACCTCCTGAGGGTGCTGACCAACGCGCAATTGGCAGCGAAAGATTTGACCTCGGCGCTCCAGCATGCTCACTCTTGGCGGTTGGCGGGTACGCCCACCGACTATCTAATCACTCGCCGCAGGTCTATACGTGGCGAGTGATTAGATAGCAGAGAGAGCGTAGTGTTGAAGAGGGCACAAAGATGAGTGTCGCCACTGACCATCTTCAACCTATTGTGAGATGGGTTACTTTTTCCGCTGAATCGACCTTTAATGGACATGATCTCGAATGGGCTAAACACGGAGGTGCTGTATTCCAAAACAGGACTTACGCTCTAACATCAGCAATGATACGTCCATTTTACATATCAGTTTATCATGAGGAACTTTGTCGAAGGCTCACAAAAATCTAAATATATAACATCCACAGTTTTACGCCGGAAGCTCTCCTACAGTAGTTGAGAGCCCAAATCATAGCGGTAACAGTTGACTTCCAGTTCTGAGATCCGTGCTGTTCACAAAGGGAGGGGGCTCTAGGGGCGACTTCGCGCTTTTTCAAAACAATTCCTCGCACTTTTGCTCCGAAAATATGTTGTGCACTTTCACTTAATGGACTTATTAGTACCAAAAATTTAGTGAAAGAT